TATGTATATTCGATGATGTCATAGAACATGCGGGATCTGTAAGTATCAAGCGCGTAAAGGAAGGGTAAAAACAACAGGTTTACCTTCATCATTATCGTCGTGATCCTAGTGCAGCTTGCCCTGGCTCCACACAGGGTAGATATTTTACTGTTATTGTTTTGGAATACCTTATTTTTCTCCTCAGTCCAATAGGAAAGCTAATTATTTGTCTGTTCTGTCAGGCGTCGTTCAAGTATCAAGAGTACTTTCTACGGCCGATGATGAATTATGTGGTTGACAGAAATGCTGATGTGAGACAGGTACAGTCTACGTGGTCTTATTTTTTTTATAGAACTGACAACTGCACGGCAGATGTACTTTGATCCTTTCACATACAGTGTAGAGCAATTTTCATTGGTTTTGCTTTACTTCGCTCAGTGATTGGTCCAAAAAACTCGCGCCTCTTTCTCAACCAATTAGATACAAAACTAAAACCAATCAGGACTTGGTCGCCCGCGTTTTCCCGCGCTCTATTCAGTTACTTTAGCTCTGAGAGGAGTTTTCCTTTCTCCTGATTGGCGGATGTGATTTCTATGGTTCTGGTTACACGGCACTCAATCGAAATCGTTCTAAAACGTATCATTAACACTTCCTGTGTACTTATTCTATAGGCTGCGTGTTATGGATGCGGAGTGATGGCTCAGTATGGTGGAGAGGAATATATCACAGCCTGTGCAGGTCTGATATTTTGTCATTGACAATAAGATACGCAGTCTACTTCAAATATTCCCGAGTGTACAACCAGTTTTGTGACTTTGAATACTTCCCGAGCCGCTTTTCCGTAGTATACGATCTACCCGAGATCACGTTTTTAAAACTGAACCATGTTTTCACGTTTCAGATGTTGTACCCTTGCTTTTCCAAGTCATAAACGGCCCGGAATCCAGAAGTCGAGAGAACGTGAATGCCACGGAGAATGCTATTTCTGCTGTGGCAAAAATCTGTAAATATAATCGTGGGAATATCGCGCTGAATGAGGTGGTCCCGGCGCTCATTGCGGCATTACCGATCACGGAAGATAAAGAAGAAGCACCACACGTGTATGGATACCTCTGTGATTTGATTGAAGAGTAAGTGGCTTGGTTTTGTGAGCGAAGGGATAACGGAGAAGCCGGGAATTGTAGAGCCACAAAAGAATGAAAACTTAATATAGACACAAATCGAACTGGCTAATGCATGATGAACAGTGAAAGATTCGATTCGGGGCCACGTTGATCCGATGTCAGCGCTCTCACCATTCAGTTGACATTTAAGGTGCGACTCTCTCAAACTCCCTGAATACTTCTGAGGATTGCAACAAAATGACCATGAAAGTCACCACTCAGAATTGGTGCGGCGAGGGGCGGGGGAAGGTGGAAAACTTTAAGACACTTTACTTTACATGGATCAACTCGTGACGTTTTGGGCATAAGCACTAATGTCTTAGTTAAATTTTCTTGTCGTTGATGTTGTTTGTTTTGTACTCAAACAGAAATAATCCTCTTGTTCTGGGCACAAGTAACAGTAACTTACCTCGGATACTCCAAATTTTTGGCGAACTGTTCATCAATGATGTTCTTAGCGACGACGAGGCGGCCCGGAAAAGGGTTCTAGTAATCATACGACAAATACAGGTGAGAGAGCGGACGATTATAAATGTGTTGGTGAAATAACGCTCTTAGTCCGAGTTGAGAGAGGCTTTAACGTATCGAAAGTTACATTTCTAGGTCGGTATCCTGTCTTATCATTAACTCTTCAACCCCAAAAAGTGACTGGCAGCTAATTTCTCTTTACAATATCACCCCAGAATCAAACATTAAGATTATGAGAATAAAGGAAATGATCACTGACTAAAGAATCTCTTGATTGTTAAACCAATTCTCCTTGTCAACCCCTTAGGAAATGAGTAGAGAGCAGTATGGAGAATATGCGCACTGATGTTAGGGTGTAAAGGGTTAAAGAATATGCCTATCTCTTTCAGAGCGCCGCTGACATGTGGACGGCGTGCGCCGGACAACTCAGTGAGCTCCAACAAGAGGCTTTGAAACAAGCTCTCGAGGCAGAAAGCTGATTCGCGTGCGTGCGTGCAAGTTACCCAAGCGTACAGAACCTCGCAACATCCGCGACAAAGCGCGTCCCTTCGGCAGAGTTTTCTTAAATTCTTCTGCATGAATTGCGCCCACATTCTGTTGACACTCTTGTCATGAACACTGAACGATTTTGATTTTTCTATCGAGTGAAACAAAAAATAGAACCGAGCTGGATTTTAAGGAGAAGCGTCGTGACTACTATGAGTAGTAAATTGGGATTGACTCGCGGACGTTGTAATCGGGAGAAGTACAGGAACACAAGGAGTGAATGAGAGAGGTGAAGACGGAAAACAGATCTGAATGACAGGAAGGAAAAAGAAAAATTATGGAACTGAAGTTAGTGGAAAACAAATGAACAGACGAGTGTGATATAATGATTATTATCGGTATAGCAATGTTAAGTCTCTTAGCCGATATGGTACTCCTTTCTCATGAAAACATTCAAGCCCAAGATTGAGAGAGAAACTCTCCTTACTATGTCTCTTCTTACGTTTCTTTTTATGCTGGGAGAATTTTCCGGTACGTCAGGATCTTACCAATAGCGGATTATTTTTATTTATCACCGCTCTTGTCATTGATGTAAGGAGATTTACAATGTACATCACTCTTGGTGCTTGGTATGATAAACTAAGACTACTTCACTGAATTAAAAACGGAATGGAAGGAAAAAAGTGTGTGTCCTGCTTGGCTTGCCTAGAGCATTTTAGTAGTAACTCTTCCAGAGAAATAATGATAACAGCTTTTTCAAGTCATATATTTCCTGCGGAAATCTAACTCCATGGGATCTAGAGCTGTTAATAAAGAAAAACGCACAGCGGCATGTCTGTCGGAGACCTCAGTGATGTGAACATTTTGATTAGAAGTGCCACGGAAACAAAGAATTAATTCATATTCGTTTTATGAATACTACTAGTTCGTCTTCCAGTGAGTTATTTATCCTTCGCATGGTGTAATGTCAACACCTGCAGGGCAATTGTTCAAATTCTTTCATCCCTCTCGTGGTATGCATATTGCGCTTGCTCTTTTGTAAGTATTAAAATGCCAGAAGTACTCAAGCGTCGGACAAGCACAGTACATTCAGGGATGATAAAAGGAGTGAATTCAGCTTCCAGACCGTTCACGGTCTTTGGATATTTTTTGTTTCTTTTGAATGTATTTTTTGGTCAGTAAGCCGGCTTAATATGATTGGAATGTCATTAGACGTTCCTCATGATCCGATTTAAGAAGCCTTTTAGAAACACGTCGCAGAAAAAATCTTCTGGGGTTCATAACCTTTGCGCTTTTTTATGTTAATGATTAACTTGTGTTTTGGAACTGTGCAATAAATGAGTTGTCAGTGATCGGATCCTTGCGTTTGCGCAAAGATTTCTGGGATCGCTACGGGGCAAACATTGCAACTCGCTAGGAGGAAATATATGGCGAAAGGTTGTTTCGATTTTGTTTCTAACGATTTTGGGGTGAGATCAATGCTTTTTCGTCGCAGTTTTATCTCAAATGACTAGTGATGATGTCGATAAGAGGGAAGTGTAAGTTTTTGTTGGAATTACCATAAAATATGTTTTAAAATATACCGATAAACTTCTCCCGTTGCGTAAGGTTTATTGTGAAATTGTCATCGCGAAATGGTCTCGACATGTTACAAAACTAGCCATAAATCGCCAGGAAATAACTTGTGTAAGTCTTCGGATGTATTTTTGTACGTACAGCCTGTTTTTACACTTGTTAACGTATTACATAACAAAATTACGACGTCCGAAAATATACTTCCTCAAAGAAGAGAAGTCATCGCCAGCGTAGATTGAGATTGTTTTTACCTTATGTTGCTTTCTGGAAGGATGAAATAAGCGATGAAATCAAGAGGAAATCCCTAGGTCAAGTGTTTGTGTTTTCTGTTTTTTTTTAGAAAAATCCAAAGGTTTTTGAACTGCAACTTTTCTCCTCGAACTCTTTGGAGGATCTTGTCAGCAAAAGCAAGATAACGGGAACTCCAGCAGAAATTGTGGACATAAATTCAGTTGTGCTTCGCTTCTTAAGCGACCTATTTGTACCTACTCTTCGTCGCAGAAGAAAGGTTTCAGTTTTTCGCCGATTATCAACGCTGGTTCGTTTTCATTTGTCACAATAAAGAAGTGATGTAAGTGTTTAATCACTTCATTGTATCATGATAATATTTCATGCTCAAGCACACTATTTCAATCTCCAGCCGCCTCTTTTGTATTACCAAGCCAAGAAAAAAGCTAGAAGTAGTCTTTACACATGTCAAAAAAACTGAAAAGCCTTTATTGAGTTATTTCTTGTATAGCTAACATTTCTGAATTTCGAGACCATTATGGGATGTCAATTTTACAATAGACCATGCGTACAGAAAAAAGTTAATCGGTAGATTTTACTGCATATTTCATGGTTGTTCAAACAAAAACTTACGCTACCCTCGTGTTAATATTACCCAGATTAATTTTTGGTAAAAAAGAAGCGAAAGAACGATAATCTCTCTCCAAAATCTTTTTTCCGACGTCAAAACAACCTTTCGCCATACGAGTTGCAATGTTTGCCTCGTGGCGATCCCAGAAGTCTTTGCGCAAACACAAGTATCCGATCAGTGGCGACTCATTCTTTCGGTGTTATCCCATTCAAGTTTGCGAAAGCTGACTCGCAAACACTCGTGTTGTTCAACTTAACTCCTCAACTGAAACAAGCATCACAGCATGCATAGTTTATTTCATAATCAATATCGGGCTATAGATAGTTTTTAGGCAGAGAATGGTTAGTATCAAGCTCAGTGCAACAATTTAATGATCTTACTTATATCATGAACAATAAAAGGAAAACTATAAGCGATCGATCTATCTAATTAGGACAACTCTCTAGGTAAAAACGAATGAATTGGCCAAAACTAAAACTGATACCTAGTTAAAACACTCATGCGAATAATTGTTGTTGCTTCCCCTACTAGACACGAGCAGCGATCGAAATATTTAAGTTAAATTACTCAGAGACATAGAAACGCAAGTCTCTGCTGATTACGAAAGAAAACCTCTTCGACAGTCCTTGCCATTCCTTTTCCCAGCCTGAGAAACGGAAAACTCGTGCGAAATGCTTACGTGTCGAGCTTATAGCAAACCACGCTAAAACTAAACCCATCCAAAGGTTTTATTACAGTTCGTAAAGCTCTTCTCTTAAAAGAAGCCGGCAACTCACGTTAACACAAAGCGATGTTCTTCTAAGTCAGGGAGTTTGAAGACCCCATTGGGTGTATAAAATGCAAAAGCTAAATGTTCCCATCTACGGTATATGGGAAAGCTTTGCAACCAATCTGGAAGACGTACAATTTCTGTAGCGGTTGCTTGGGGCTTCCAAACCCAGTTGCCATCGTAGTCGCGCGTTACTACCCCCTCGTTGTTGCCATCATCATTATCATCATCAGCGACGTCGGGGTAATCCGAAAACTGTTCATCTTTGTCGCTACAAACAAGAACAGCATGCATGATCTCTTTCTTGTAAATGTATGTTCCTAATATCTTGAATTGAATCGAATTTTCCTCACCAATCTTACGGTATTTTTCAGCATAACGTTGACATAACGTTTCAAAGCCATACTGGAAATAGGAACTTCCATACCGCTCCGAACTTGGTATGAAGGCGTGAGACTTAGCGAATTGACTTACGACTTCTTCTTTATCATTTTCTTTACCAAGAAAAGGCTCTATGGCTGCACGCAGGGTATCACGTACACGATCGATTTCGTTCTCCGAAAACTTCGGACTCCACCACGAAAACTCTGCTTCGATATCATGTCCGTTTTCGTCTTCGTTGATTTTCTTCATTCCTCCCTTGAAGCCCCCATCATCAATGATATTATCTGCTCTGACTGGTATAGTGAAGTGCGCTAGATCGACGAAAGGGACTCTGGTCCCATTTAGTTTTGCTGCTTGTAGGTTCTGCCATGGTAGACCATACATTAAGTTCATGCACTCAGCCATGAAAGGATGGCTGAAAACACACTCATAGTCAGAGATATGAGGATATTGATGTCGACTACCACTGAAGTATTTGTTCCAATCATCGTCCCACTGGTTCTGTGTGATGTGTATGCTAGGACAACATTTCTCAACAACATGTGGCTGATGTGCCCGACCATCAATCCACTGAACAACTCCAGCCATTTTGACGCTATTGAATATTCAGTTTGTAAGACTGTTGACAGCTGACTGCTGAGTTGACAGAATTTCTCAGTTGCCGCTGACACTCTGTTTTCAAAAGATGATACGAATTTAATGAATTTAGTTATTGACTCAGAGAAACAAGGAAGTTTGATTCCCTCTTTTCTGATTGGCCGAAAGCGTACAGTGAATTTTCGAAATCAGTGCCTGGGACGTCATCTAGCTTCAGATTGTACAATAATCATGTCAAGGACACTCCAGGTCACGGTTAATAGTAGCATAGTAGTTGGGGTTGGGGAGCCAGTTTTCAAAAACTTTGCCCGAACCGCCCAACTACTATTCTGCTGGGAGATGTTCGATGTTTCCATGTCACGTTATCACAAAATGGTTATAATCATCGCCCAGAATGCTATTGTCTTTCGCGACATGTACTTGCAGTGCCCATTTAATCAGCGGGCAGCATAATAATTTGCATATCCTGAACTAGTCGGTTGTGATTGGTCAGCAGGTAAAGCTTTGGGAATACATGAGTCTCTTTGCAGATTTCAGCTGCTGAAAATTGAAGAAAGATGTTCGATGTTTCCATGTCACGTCATCACAAACTGCGCCCATGTTTTGGTTATAGCATATTGAAAGAGAATGAATTCCGAGAAAATTAAAGACAATTGGATTCCGAGAAATAATAGTTGAAAGAAAATTGCCATACTGCCCACGCGTTGGCGTCATTCAAACAGGATGTCGATGATGCAAAATAACACGGACTTTCCCGAGGATATGAGTCATGATGGTCTGATTTTTCTATACAGATAATAAGTTTCATATTTTGTCTATACAGTTGTGGAAATCTTTTTTAGTTTGTGAAATTTATTTTTAAAGTAAAGTTTACTCGAAAAGTTTAGTTCTGTGTTTGGTAAATGTGGCGTTACCGAAATTGGTAAGCCCCAAATTTGCGTTCGTCCTCAGTTGGTATAAAGTAATCATTGCTCTATCATTTTGCTTTTCCTTGGGAGCTCTTCAAAATACAGTCCACTCATCAATCATAGCGGCCAAGATAGTCTCACTAAAACTTTTTTTTCGAGCTCCAATATTTCTGTCTTGTTTTGAAGAATCGTGGCTAATTATGTGTTGGTTACGTGACATTCAGTGGTTGTCATAATTAAACATGAAATGATCTATACAGTGTAATTGTATTTCGGCTCGGAAAGTGCTGGAAGGCTTTACCCCCAGACATAATTACATTATTGTTCTGATCAATATCAGTATCTGGGCAACTGCCCACCTACCCCTCCCCTAACCCAACAACAGTCAGTTGATAACAAGTTAGGGTTAATGTTGGGTTGGGGGAGGGGTAGGTGGGCAGTTGCCCAGATACTGGTATTCCCAACTGATTTTTGCGGGAACTTAATTTCGCGAAAATGGGACGGGCCTTTGTCGCGAGGAAGAGCGGGAAGGCAATAAGCGTCCCAGCAAATGTGTCTGGGAGTGTAGAATATAAACTCACAGTTACTTCAATGTCCTCAGCTCTTTTTTCGTTTTTGTTTTGGGAATGTCGCTTCTGAAAATGTCTTTAATCCTTTAACTCCCAAGATCTCATTAGTGATTCTCCTTACTGTCTGCCATACAGTTCTGGGGATGTTTGTTTGGAGAATTTGGTATAGGATCAACTTATAATCCCCTAACTGATATTTTTCTTTATTCTCATCACTTTTCTGCTTGATATTGTATTAATATTAATTGTAAGGAGAAATTCTGTCTTGGTCACTCATGGGAGTTAAAGGGTTAACCAAGATGAGTTGATCTGATTTTCATGAACTGTCAAGTATGAGGTATTTTAAATGCAAGGACCAAATTTTCTCTTTTCTGCTAAACGTAATAGTATGTTTAAAGTGAATATCACAAGGATTTATTGCACCATCAATACTGAGTAAAGCGGCTGTTTAAAGATATAACTGGTACATCATTCGACTCAGAGGAAATTCATTCCAAAATGGTTCTGCTCGGCATGCAGTACTTTATCGAGTCTAGGAATACTTTAGAATACTTTATCGAGTCTAAGAACGCTCAGATATCAACAAATATTTAAGTGAGATTTAGCGGTAAACATTCTTGTGGTTTTCATGCTTTTGTTTTGTTCTGTTTTGTCGTTTTAATGTTCTTACATTGCTAGAAATCTTACAATAAAACAGGTATAAGCAAAAGGCCTCTTTCATCAAGTGCTTCTGGTATTTTTGTTCAAAACAACTCGAAACCCCGATAACTCGAAGTAATTTCAATTAGCAATTCGAGTTACCGGGGTTCAAACTCCAGGGGATCTAGAGCTTTTAATCAAGAAATACACAAACAACGATCTGGAAATTGGACAAAAAGCAGTTAACAAGCTCCCAGACCGTACACGAATCTTTGGATATTTTTTGTTTCTTTTGAATGTACATGTATTTATTAGTCAGTCAGCCAGTTCAACATGATTGGAATGTTATTAGACGTTCTCCATGAAGTGGTTTGAGACGCCTTTCAAAAACATGTCAAAAAACATCTTCTCGGCTTCATAACCTTTGCGCTTTCTTATATATGTGTGTGGTTAACCTGTGTGTTTTGGAACTCTGTGCAATTGCGTGTTATCCTATTCAAGTTTGCGAAAGCTGGCTCGCAAACCGCTCGTGTTTTGCAATCCTGTTCAACTTAGATGCAATTAATTCAATGAGAACATTAATAGCTCCTCAACTGAAACAAGCATCTCAGCTAGCATAGTTTATTTCATGATCAATTATTGACAATCGTTGTCTTTGATGCTGGGCTATATATAGTTTTGAGCAGAGAATGGCTGTGGCAAACTCCGTGCAACAATACAATGATCTTACATATATCATGAACGATAAAAGGAAAATTAAAAGCGGTCGATCTATCTTATTTTAAAAGAAGCTTCTGGTGAAAAGCTTGAATAAATTGGCTAAAACTAAACTGAACTGAAACCTACTTCAAACACTCCAGCGAATTCATTCTGAAGATGTTTTCGCCTCCCCTACCAGACACGGTTAAATTAATCAGAGACATAGAAACTCAAGTCTCTGTTGATTATTATCGAAAACCTCCACGACAATCGTTGCCATTCTTGTTCCCGGCCTGAGAAACGGAAGACTCCTGCGAAATGCTACGCTAAAACTAAACCCATCCGGCTGTGGAGTAGATAGAATCTTTGGTTAGAGGCTTTGGACTCAACAAAGATTAGGATAAAACTAAACTGAGATTGTAATATTTCCAACGATGGCATGAATCACAGCCAACTGCAACTAAATTAAATCTTAAGTATGCTTTTCATAACAAAAAAGCTACAAAGGTTTTATTACAGTTCGTAAAGCTCTTCTCTTGAGAGAATCCGGCAACTCACGTTAATTCAAAGCGATGTTTTTCTAAGTCAGGGAGTTCGAAGACCCCATCTGGTGTATAAAATGCAAAAGCTACATGTTCCCATCTACGGTATATGGGAAATTTTTGCAAAAAATTCGGAAGACGTACAATTTCTGTAGCGGTTGCTTGGGGTTTCCAAACCCAGTTGCCATCGTCTTCACGCGTTACTACCTCCTCGTTGTTGCCATCATCATTCTCATCATCATCTGTTGCCATTACAGCGACGTTGGGGTAATTCGAAAACTGTTCATCTTCGTCGCTACAAACAAGAACAGCATGCATGATCTCTTGCTTGTAAACGTATGTTCCTAATATCTTGAACTGAATTGAACTTTGCGCACTAATCTCACGGTAATTTTCAACATAATGTTGACATAACGTGTCAAAGCCATACTTGAAATAGGAATTTCCATACCGCGTCGAACTTGGCATGAAAGCGTGAGACTTAGCGAACTGACTTACGACTTCTTCTATATCATTTCCTGCGGCAACAAAAGGCTCTATGGCTGCACGCAGGGTATCACGTACATGATCGATTTCGATCTCCGAAAACTTCGGACTCCACCACGACAACTCTGCTTCGATATTATGTCCGTTTTCGCCTTCGTTGATTTTCTTCATTCCTCCCTCGAAGCCCCCATCATCAATGATATCATTTGCTCTTTCTGGTTCAGTGAAGTGCGCTAGATCGGCCAAAGGGATACTAGTCCCATTCAGTTTTGCTGCTTGTAGGTTCTGCCATGATGTACCATACTGTTGGTTCATGTATTCGGCCACAAAAGGATGGCGGAAAACACACTCATAGTCAGAGATATAAGGATAACGATGTGGACTATCCACGAAGAATTCGTTCCAATCATCGTCCCACTGGTTCTGTTTGATATGTATGCTTGGAAAAATTTTTTCAACAACACCTGGCTGATTCGCTCGACCATCTATCCACTGAACAACTCCAGCCATTTTGACGCTATTGAATATTCAGTTTGTAAGACTGTTGCAAGATAGAATCACCGAAACAACGGGAAAACGAAACTCATCCGACTAGTAAGACTGCCAGACAAATTCTGTAGAAGGTTATAAGCTATATTATAATACATTCAACTCACTATCTCTTTTCTGATTGGGCGAAAGCGTACACTGCATTGTCGAAATCAGTGCCTGGGACGTCATCTAGCTTCAGATTATACAATAATCATGTGAAGGACACTCAAGGTCACGGTAATAGTAGCATAGTAGTTGGGGTTGGGGAGCCAGTTTTCAAAAACTGTGCCCTAACCGCCCAACTACATTTCTACTGGGAAATGTTCGATGTATCCATGTCACGTCATCACAAAATGCGCCCATGTTTTGGTTAAAGCATATTGAAAGAGAATGAATTCCGAGAAAATTACAGACAATTGGATTCCGAGAAATTACTGTTCAAAAGAAAATTGGCATACTGCCCACGCGTGGCGTCATTCAAACAGGAAGTCGATGATGCAAAACAACAGGAACTTTCCAGAGGATATGAGTCATGATGGTCTGATTTTTTATACAAATAATAAGTTTCACATTTTGTCTATACAGTTGTGGAAATCTTTTTTGGTTTGTGAAATTTATTTTTAAAGTAAAGTTTACTCGAAAAGTTTAGTTTTGGTAAATGTAACGTTACCGAAATCGCAACGGAATGAACTCTAATCTAAGCTCACGTAATTTTTACATGTAACACGCCTTTTTTCGGTATTCGTAATGCATGGTTTACTAGGGTGTTTCTAAGGGCCCTATTTGAATTGGTAGTGTTTATGTTTGTGACGTAAAATCTATATACCTGACAAGGCTGGACAAATGTAAGTACCTTTGATTTCGCTACCCTTTATCTGGCCTTTTCAGCTCATTCATGCTGGAAGCAATGAATGAGGTATCGTGGTGAAGCAGATATCGACGGAAGTTGTCGACCGTGGACGGAAGTTGTATTCCGTAGACGGAAGTTGCATTGTGGATCGTGAACGGAAGCAGTCTCGCATGCTACCCCTTTCTACTTAGATAAAGTCAAAATTAATTTCGATGAAGCTCAGAAACCCACATGGAAAGAAATAAAATGTTTGTATGGTTTAATAAAGATAATAACCTCAAACTTGGATCGAGAAGCCGAAATGTTCATTTCAACACACGCTGTGACCACGCAGAAGAGCATCAGAGGCAGTCATACTGATTGGTAAGCCCCAAATTTGCGTGCGTCCTCAGTTGGTATAAAGTAATCATTGCTCTATCATTTTGCCTTTCCTCGGGAGCTCTTCAAAATACAGTCCACTCATCAATCATAGCGGCCAAGATAGTCTCACTAAATTTTTTTTTTCGAGCTCCAATATTTCTGTCCTGTTTTGAAGAATCGTGGCTAATTATGTGTTGGTTACATGACAATCAGTGGTTGTCATAATTAAATATGAAATGATCTATACAGTGTAATTGTATTTCGGCTCGGAAAGTGCTGGAAGGCTTTACTCCTAGACATAATTACCTTATTGTTCTGATCAATATCAGTATCTGGGCAACTGCCCACCTACCCCTACCCCTCGAAAATGGGACGGGCCTTTGTCGCGAGGAAGAGCAGGAAGGCAATAAGCGTTCCAGCAAATGTGTCTGGGAGTATAGAATATAAACTCACGATTACTTCAATGTCCCCAGCTCTTTTTTTTGTTTTTGTTTTGTGAATGTCGCTTCTGAAAATGTCTTTAATCCTTTAATAATAATAATAATAATAATAATAATAATAATAATAATAATAATAATAATCTTTATTTCTTAAGATAAAATCACATATCCTAAGTTACAATATAAACTCAAAAAACTATTTACATATCATATCTTAAAATTATTCTTTTACTAAAAACGTTCTTAAACCTGTCAGTGTAGATTCTAGGGACAGAGACTGACGTATTTCTAAGATTGTACCTCATGTTCTTTTCCTTGGGTAAAAACTGGAAAAACGGGCATTAACTCCCAAGATCTCATTAGTGATTCTCCTTACTGTCTGCCATACAGTTCTGGGGATGTTTGTTTGGAGAATTTGGTATAGGATCAACTTATAATCCCCTAACTGATATTTTTCTTTATTCTCATCACTTTTCTGCTTGATATTGTATTAATATTAATTTTAAGGAGAAATTCTGTCTTGGTCACTCATGGGAGTTAAAGGGTTAACCAAGATGAGTTGATCTGATTTTCATGAACTGTCAAGCATGAGGTATTTTAAATGCAAGGACCAAATTTTCCCTTTTCTGCTAAACGCAATATGTTTAAAGTGAATATCACAAGAATTTATTACACCAGCAAATTTTCCCTTTTCTGCTAAACGCAATATGTTTAAAGTGAATATCACAAGAATTTATTACACCAGCAATACTGAGTAAAGCGGCTATTTTACGATATAACTGGTACATATCAAACCAACAGCTAGGAACGAAATTGTTAAAAGAACAGCTGCTGCAAGGTTCAAGGTTCTGTCAGAGCCATTGCGATGCTTGCTTTTTGTAATTCAAATTCGAAAGTGAATAGTTCAGTGAATGCCGCCTCTTCAAGATATGGTTAAAAATGCTCTACAAGTGTTATATAAATCATTCAACAAATATATCATTTTACTCAGAGGAAATTCATCCCAAATAGGTCTGCTCGGCATACAAACGAATACTTTATCGAGTCTAGGAAAACTCATATCTTGGCTTTGTCTAGACCAATTATATCACACGAAATGGTATGGACAAAACTGCCTATGGCCCGGGCTGTTCAAAACAACTCAAAGAAAACCAGACATTGTAAGACACTCTCCTCAAAACAAACAATCATTTTTTTGAAGGGGCGTCTAGTACGCGATTAAGTGTAAGGCGAATATCCTCATTGATACACTTACACGAGAGGCAACTTTTAGACGAGAATACGCAAAAACAAAAAAAATGGTACCAATAGTAGTTTTTTACAAGGTGAAAGAGAAAATTGTTGGACCTGAATGAGAAAGCATTATGCCAGCTTTGCTTAAGATATTGTGATAACCATTATATGCTATTTGTATTCTCAGTCGTAAGCTTGATAGCCATTCACGTGAGTCAAGTCTTTGTTCCTCCCCAAGAAAATTAAAAACGCGGGCTCTCTTGTCTATTAAGTGGCTATTTGTATTGAGGCTTGTCCGTCGTCTTCAAGACTTTGGACTAGGAATAATATCCATCGTTCCTGTAAGATTTCCCTCAAATAGGTAAAAGCTATTCTGAAGCTAGATTAAATTTCCTAAGAAAACAGAAAATATTTTTTGTTTTCACTGTGCACTGTCGTAGGAAGGACACTTGACGAAATTTGAGTTGTTTCCTATCATCAAGGCTTTTTTCTGAGGGCGAGTGATTTACAAGCGCTGTTATTTTTTCCACGTCTTCAGGAAACGATAAAAATCTATAGAAAGTGTAGAGTTTTTAGTAGCGAAACAAAATGATATTGACTAATTGTCAACTTCGCCAAGTAATCCTATGGCTCGTCATTTCTAGCTTAATGGCCATATCATGATAAACTTACAGAACACCAATCGAAGAATGTATCGCAAAACACCGCTGATAACAGACTACTGGTGCATTCTAATGAGTTTATGAAACAACTTTAAAATGTTTCAGTTTTCCGTGGCTTTACTTCTGAATTATACCGGTGTTTGTTTTTTTTTTTTGTCTTATCTTAGCGCGTGTAGTTTCCTTGTAGTTTTCATAATGTTTAACGGCAAAACTATTTTCAGGCCGCATTGAGTATTGGTTGAAACTAACTATTCCAGTCTGAGACAGGCTTAATTAAATTTTGTCATATTTTCATTCTCTACTCTACAAAGTGTGATAACAATGAATTACAGATGAGATGTAGAATTATCTAACAGCTAAGAATAGTTTCAGACGCTCTCTGATAAATTATTTTCCGGGCCGAGACGCTAATTAGCGCTAGTAGTTCTTAATTAATTGCCTGGAATAAATGATATGAGTTGTAGGCGAAAAATATCTAAACTAAGCTAGTCCTTTTTTTATGGATAACTCCGTACTGTAGAATCATCACGGAAACGATTATATTTGATGCTCACTCGCGTGGGTTTTGAACGTTCTGAGTTTTCATATTACTAGGAAAACATCTGGCTATGAATGACATTAATGAATTTGTTATGGGAAAAGCGATCTTTCAAAGCTGATAGCAAATTGTTTATCGCTGAAGAGACAATATGTACATGAAAAAGTTCTCAGGAAATAAAATGAACTTTCGAAAATTATTTTGCTAGCCTGACTATATGGTGCGTGCATGCAAGCCCATATTGTGAAAGTTTGCCCGGAGACAAGTTTCAATCTATAATCTAAATTTATAACTCTATATTGTCGGCGTTTGAGGAAAAAAAGTCGTATGCTAATCTATGGTAATAGAGATGACTTCAAGCCAAAAGAATGCAGTATTTTTTTTAGAATCTAAATTCGCATATTTTTATGGGAAAAGAAACATTACATTTACCAAGATCTCTGTAAGTGGAAGTTACGGTTGCTTCCTTCGGGGAACCAGATTCTTCGATAAGAGCTTGAGGTAAGAGCTTTAGCCCAATAATTTAAGCTTTGCTACAACGCGGCTAAATAAACAGA